CAAGTACATGACGCCTCCTGACCTGGCTGGGGAAGTGAAGGAGAGCTAGATGTACGGCCCTCAGTTCCAACCAGTTGATGTCGTGACGGAGGTCTGATGGAGACCAACGGCCCTGTGCCCAGTGGGAGCGAAGATGCGCCCCCCATCCAAAGAGGCTGGCATCGGTCGTGAGGAGGAGCCGTTCCGGCTCCTTGAACAACGACCCTTTGAGGACAGCTGGGGACAGCCACCATTTGAGGGAAAGCGAGGTCCGAGATGGAATCCTCACCCTTCTCTGAGAAGCACTGACATTCTGTCTCTGGAAGGGGAGTAGGAACCACTGCAATTCCCTGGAGTGGAGCCTGGCCCACGGTACTATGTCTATGGCTGATATCATCAGTCCCAGCACCCTGGAAAGGCTGAGCAGAGAAACCTTCTGCCCCTTACGTACTTGGCGGATGGATTTCCTCAGGTTGGTCAAACGTTCCTGAGACAGATACACCCGGCATTCCCTGGTGTCTATGACGGCCCCTAAATGCAGTAGCCGAGTCGTGGGGACCACATGACTCTTGGGGAAGTTTACCGAGAACCCGTGATCCTGGAGCAGCTGTACTACCCAGTCGAGATCCTGTCGTGCCGAGTGGGCGGAGGTTGACTGGATCAGGATGTCGTCCAGGTAACACTGGACCCTGATCGGAACCATCCGAAGGCGAGCTGCCAGGACCGCCAGGATCTTGGTAAACACCCTGGGGGCCGACGAGAGGCCAAATGGTAGAGCCCTGTATTGATAGTGCTCTCCCTGGTAACTGAACCGTAGAAACCGCCGGTGATCGATAGAGATGGGGATATGGAGATACGCTTCCGTGAGATCGATGGATGTCAGGAAGTCTCCCTTTCTCACGCTTCCCAAAATGGAGCGGAGTGTCTGCATCTTGAATTTTTGATACCTGATATGAAGATTCAAATTCTTTAGGTCCAGGATGGCTCTCCATCCTCCTGACGTTTTTGGAACGACAAAGAGGATGGAGTAAAATCCCCGCCCTCTCTGGTCCACCGGAACGGTTTCCACGGCCTTTATCTCCAGAAGATGCTGGATGGCCTGGTTCATCAGGTTTCTTTTGGGTAGGTTTCGGGGAAACGGGCAAGAAATGAACCTGTTTACAGGCGCGGAGATGAACTCCAGGTGGAGGCCGGACCGTATCGTGTCTAGGACCCACATGTCCGTGGTGGTGGTCTCCCATTGGTGGAAGAACAGCGATAGTCTGCCCCCTATGGGAGATCCCGTTGCCGGGGAGTCACCTGGAGCGCCGAAATGGCCGGCCGCCCCCACGAAACGGCCGCTTGCCCTGGTTACCCTGGTAGTGCTGCCTGGGCTTGCTCGCCTGCCTGTCAAATTGTCCCTCTTGACGGTCCGTTCTGGGTGGGAAGGGACGAAAAGAGTTTGAATAGTTGTACCTATTCCCCCCCCGAAAGGACTGTCTTCGGGAAAAATAATTTTGTTTCCTGTCAGGTTTCTTAATGATATGGTTGAGCA